GTAGATACTCGAATCGTCTTAAGATATAATCGAATTTGAACAAAAAAAATGTGGGTATCCTGTATTTTCGACTAACGAATCGAATGATTGGGCATGACCGAATGTTTGAATAATCGAATAAAGGATGAGTGTCGATCGAAAGAGCAAATACTTGATGATTTCGCAGATATTCAAAAGATCGAATATTATTCGATTCTCAATTAAAACTATTCGAATTTATTCGAATGTTGATGTTCCAATATATTCAACTACACAATGTCGAATAAATGTGTTTTTTCAAATATTCGACTAGTCAAAAAATCGAAAATGCACTTCTACGAATATTCGATATGGATATTTCACTTATTCGTGCGAGTGTTTTATTCGAACAAATATTTGCTCTTAACTTTAAGAAAAGTTACTGATCTTGGAAATTTCCCTAGAAAATGAGGCGCTTCTGAGCGAAAAGAAGCAAGTCAAAAAATTGAAAATTCAAAAAAGAAAGCGAAAAATTATTGAAAAAAGGTATAATAGACTAGAGAGAACATTAACAGCACCTTTTCGAAGTCAATTGGATTGAGCTTATGAATTGTTTTGGTGTTCAGTCGAGCAAGTTTCACTTTCAATTGTTCTAGAACAGTGTCGGAGTTGACTGAAAAAAAATTTTGATCGTGCGCTTATGACAATAATGAGTCATGAAGAAAGAGGAAAACAATAATTTTTGATAAATCCAACTGGTGATCGTTTACTCACCATCCTCAGCTTCCGCATTCTCTTTCGCTTCAGCATCAGTAACCGCGATTTTTACATTAGCTCTTGGTTTAAATGGTGGTGGCTGCACCGACGATGCAATTTTCATGACGAGATCAACATCAAGGATGGGTTTGATGCCGTAAACTTCTGCTCGCAAAATTGAAGCAGCATAGACGAAGTTGCGATGCTCCTCCTAAATCACATTCGTTGTAAAAGAAATTTGTTACAATCGCGAAAGTACCTGAGCGGGATCAAATTCGAGCATATGTGGACAACGTTTTGTACCAGACCAGAACTTCGCTCCCTGATCTGTCACCTGATCGGGTGGGAAGGAGTACAGCATTTGCGCGATGTTATCATGGAAATGCTCCTAAAGAACATTGTTCAATTACCTATATAAAAAAGCAAAAATATACCTGGAACAACAGTCGTGCCCACTTCACACAGTCCTCTGCATTAGATGGTTTGCTATCGA